GGAACGGGTGCCATTATTATCCCCACTGTACAGGTGGGGAAACTGAGACCATGGGAAGTGAGGTCATTTGCCCAAGAGTATCCAGTTAGCCAGTGGTAAAGCCAGGCAGCCTGACCCCAGAGCCCAGAGCGTCCTCTCAACTGGGACCCTACCACACTCAGGAGCAAAGGGGTCCCCCACAGTGGGCGGGGGCCTACGTGTACACCCTACACACACACAGGCGCTCAGAGACACAGGCATCCCAGCAAAACACACAGACACTTGTGCCTCACCAGGCACCTGCCTGCCCCTGTGTGGGCGTCCCTACTCCCCTGAGTCCCCCTCCCTCTACCTCCTTGGGTCAGCCTGGGGCAGTGGAACTTTCATGGGATGAGCGTCTGCTGTTTCCTGTCCCTCCCCAAGACCCCCGCATCCATGAAGCCTCAGTGAACACGGCGGTGGCCCTGATCCACTCACACCATCTCTAAGACGCCACCACCCAGCTAGTCTGTCCCAGGACAGCCCCTCCTGTGACCCGATGCCCATGCCATCCTGGAGCTGACAGTACCTGTGAACTGGGCTTCTCTTCCTGGCTGGTGTCCCTCCTGTTGTTTCCCTCGGCAGCCAGCGCCATCTTGTCCCAACACGGGTAGGAGCAGGACGCCTCCTGGTGTAAAACCCTTCATTGGCGTTCCATTGTTCCCTGGACAAAGACCAACAAGGCGCAGCCGTGCCGTACGCCTACAAGGACGTAGGTGACCTTATAAAAGATGACAGCAGGGGGCGCCTGGGTGGCTCAGTTGGTTAAGCGACTGCCTTCGGCTCAGGTCATGATCCTGGAGTCCCGGGATCGAGTCCCGCATCGGGCTCCCTGCTCAGCAGGGAGTCTGCTTCTCCCTCTGACCCTCTTCCCTCTCGTGCTCTCTATCTCTCATTCTCTCTCTCTCAAATAAATAAATAAAATCTTTAAAAAAAAAAAAAGATGACAGCAGGCCCACGCCGAGGATTCTTGTCCTTTCCCCTCCATCACAAATGGGAGAAGCCAGCTGCGTGATGAAAGCTGTAAAAAGCCTGTTCCCAGCGGAGGGACAAGTCTCCCTGGTCTTTGGGTGTCCACAGCTTCTCTTCACTGGGATGAAAATACCACAGATCTCCTTCCAAGAGGGGCCTCATCCTCATGGGAGACTCCGGGGCCCTCTCCAGCATTCTGCAAGCTCTAAACCACCTGCCCATCAGGCTCAAGGAAAAGACACACCATGGGGTGAACAGGAGGTCAAGTTCCTGGGGTCAGCTTCCCAGTGAATCATGCCCTTTGAGGCCCGCCCACCAGTAAGTAGCACAGCTACCTCAGCCGCCTCTCAGCCCTTCCTGGATGCATGTCCTCGGACCACAGGGCCTTTGCACAGGCTGTCTCTCTAACTAAACTCTCTCTGCCTTCCTCTTTGCCTGATTAACTTCTTGAGACCCCTGCTAAACTATTTCTTCCACACAGCAGCCCTCACTGGCCCCCTGCCTGGATCAGACACCCCCATAAATGCTCTCAGAGGCCCATGGAACATCCTGTCAAACCACTTATGCCTATTTGTAAGTTTCCCTTCAGTATGTAATTACTAATGTCTGTCTCCCTACTGGGCTGGGAGCTCCCTGAGGGCCGGAATCACAGTGTGTGGTTCTTCGGTCTCTGCCCGGCACACAGGAAGTCCCCGGTATAGGTGACTGACTGAAGAGGCAACGAATCCCTTCAGGAATAAGGTTACCCCACTTTTCTGGAAGACGCCTGCCGGAATCATCGGGCTCTGAGGGAAGCCACAGAGGTGACAAGATCAAGCTCTCAGCCTGGTGCCTGCAGCATGTCTGGAGCTTAGGAAATGGTAGGATGATGGGGGGGTGCGGGTACAGCTTCTACGCTGTTCCTCTACAAGGAACGCGTTTACACCAGGAGAAAGAAGACGCTGCTTTGAGACTCGGCTCTTTTCCTTCTACTCACCTCCCCCCGACGACCCTCCATCGAAGGAGTTAAAATCCGTCAAGTGGGGGCCATCATCCTGTCCGAGCGCTGGGGACCCAGCCACCTATGCTCCACCCCAGCGGGGGTGGGTGCTCGGAGCTCCTGGGACAGCAGCTGTCTCCCCTGTGGCCAGGTAAGGAGGAAGGGAAGGAGGGGCCCGACGTCTGTGGGGGCCTCCCGTGGGCGCGGCATCCCGCAGAGAACTCTACACCCTTCATTTCCTTTCTGTCCAGTCCACAACTCTGAAAGGTAGTTCCAATTATCCCCCTATTGTGGATGACGAAGCTAAGCCCAAAGAGGTGACAGGCCTGGCCAAGGTCACCCAGCCCCTAAGTGGCAGAGCAAACACTCGAGTCCTAATCTTGCCGATGCAGAGACCCAGGCACTTTCCACCACATTGTGTCACTGTCTGAAAACTATAAAACCAACCACGTGTCCCAAATGCCTGAAACTCTCCTCCGCGTCTGAGTCCTCCCCAAACCCCCCAACCCCCAAAATATCAGCTGGGGACACCTCTGCCTGCAAGCCCACCTGGATTTCCCTGCCTGGCTCTGGGCCCACAGTCCTTGGTTTTCTGCCCCAGGTGCACATGGAGGAAGCTAGCAGGGGCCCCATCCTGGCCAGGCCAGGAGTCAACGTGGCTCACCAAAGGAATTGCCTCAGAAACCCAGCCCTTCCCGGGAAACACCCTTGCGCTGCTGCAGGAAGGGCTAGGTGCCAAACCTCCCAGGAATCAAAGCTCCTTTTCAGTTGTTTAGACTTAGTTCCTCAGTGACTCACTGTTTGCGCTCTCATGACCCAGGCCAGGAGCCAGGGGCTGCCAGGAGGGGCCCTCGTTAAAATCAAAAGGCAGTGGTGAGCAAAGGGGAGCCCCCTCTCTGGAGACCGTGACTCACGGCTGCTGGGTGATCCTGGCCAGGTGCACTCACCTCCCTGGCCTGCCCCCCGAGTCTCATCTTGGGGGGTGAGTTCCAGGAGGAGTCAGGAGCAGGAAATGGGAGGGGCGCGAGCTAGGTCAGTGTTCACCCGGCTTTACCTTGCATTAAAAACTTTTAATCCCAAATCGCTGGCAGAGATCCCGCCACCCAACCGTTTCTTCCCCTCCTCGGGTGGCACCTGCCCAGGGCCTGTACCCTTGACCACGGTGTCACAGATCTTGTGTGGGGGAGTCATTCCTGCCTGCAGTGTGAGACCCAGCCTCCACGCCGACCAGCTCCTGAGCGGCAGGCCTTCTGCCTGGTGTCAGTGTCTGGTGGCAAGATGACTTTTGCTTTCACGGTCACTTTCCTCCATTAAAATAGAAAAAAAAAAAAGTGAAAAGCAAATGTTATGACCGCATTGGTAAGAAGACCTATATAATCCAGGCTGGATTATAGTCATTCTGATTTTAAAGAAATTAAAACATTTTGGGAGCCCCTAAAAATATCACGCATGCTAGGCACCAGCCCTCCTGGAGGCACGAGGTAAGCCCTTTGAACTGCCTGGGCCCAAATTCTGGCTCACTGTGGACTTAGGTGTGTGCCTCAGTTTGCCGCTCAGTAAAGTGGGGATGATCAAAGCAGTGGCATCATGGGGCTGTTGGAAGGCTCCTTGAGATCTTGCCTGAAAAGGGCTTTTGGCACCATCCTGGTGCCTAATAAATACTCAGAGGGGGCCAACCACCTGGTTGCTTTTGAGCTCCTCATCCTCCCAGGAAGGAGGCAAGGTGGGCATGCCTTCCATCCCCATAATACAGACAGGAAAACTAAGGAGACAAGAGAGGCAAAGGACCTGCCTAAGTGGTGGAAGCAGGACCACAAGGCTGCAGATCAGGCAGCTCCCAGGTCCTGTGCTGATGGAAGTGGCTGGTCAAGTGGTCCCCGCTCGAGACCGGGAACAGGGGGTGCAGGGCAGGTGGAAGTGGCAGGCCAGGACACGGGGGCATCTTGCTTCCCCTTCTGCCGGCATGGCCTCAGGGGCGTGGACAGCAGCCAGCCCCCAAGGCCCCTGTGAGCCCATGACCGGTGGGACTTGGCAATCTCCTGCCCCTGGCAGAGCTGGGCCTTCCCTTCTATCCCCCCGACCTCTAGCCTGGCCTGAAGCCTGGCCTCTGTGTTCTGACCTTACCATGGGGACAGCAGCTCATGCTGGGAGACAAGCTGGGCCAGGGGTTACCACCTTCCCAACCCGCCCCCTAAGATAACATCAAAAGGATGGAAGTTTCCAGTCCATGCCAGAATGTGGGTTTTCCAGCTGACCCAGACAGAGCCTATTTCTATGGCTGCACACTGCACCACTGTCTGGGGATCTAGGGAGACAGAAGTCACATCTGGGAGCATTTTCACTGCTTGTCAAACAAGCAGGAGCCTGCCCAGGAAAGAACAATGAAGAAAAATCCCTAAGCTCAGCTGGCTGAACTCCCAGCCTCTGGCCTATTAGATCTTGGACAAATGGCCCCCCGGGTCCCCAGGGTCCTGCCTCGTGGCCAGGCTGCTCTCAGCGCTCTCCCTCCAGGTGACATGGAGGCTGGGGTGGGGGACAGGGAGCAGAGAGCATGCTGCAGTAGCTAGTGCCATGGAAACAGGACAGACTTGGCCACGTGGACGGAAGTTTCTCAGCTTCTCTGGGCCTCACTTGCGGCATCAGTAAAACGGGGATGAGGAAAAGATGCCAAAAGGATGGAAAGCCCTGGGTACAGACCCTGGCTCACAGCCCAGCCGGCGGGAGCGAGCACCGTGATTTTTGGAAAGGGTAGGTGAAGGGAGAAGCAGGGAAAAGAGAGAGCCGCAGATTGCTCCCCAAAAACTGCCTGGAAACCAAGTCCATGGGCCCCAGGCTGGCCCCTCCCCTGGGAACTTGACCAAAGACCTGGAAGTATAGTTGCATCACTGGGCACTCGGTGGTTAATGATGGGGAGTGGACAAGGACCCAGTATTTAACTAATTGGGGAGGTGCCCTGAGATCAGAGGCACCCCGCTCACTTCCTTCTGCAGCTCAGCTCCTCTGTCCCCGGCTCACCTCCCCTCCCTTCAGGATGAAGTCTCCCCCTCTTCTGACCTTCCTTTGCCTCCTGGGTAAGTGATCTGTGTGACCTTTCCTCTTCCTCCTCCCCGGCTGGGAACCGAGAGCTCCCCGGAGGTCCTGGAACCAGGCTCTAGGGAAAGTGTGGGGGGTCATCTCAAGGCCAGTTGTGCCCGAGGTAGCACTGGCCAGGGAAGAAGGGAGGGGTGGGGGTGGGGGGAATGCAGCCCGGGTGGCCTGGGAGGGCGCAGGGAAGGGGCTGGTGGGGACCCAAGCTAGCACACCCGAGCTCCCCGCCACCCGCACTCCACTCCCACCCCATTACCTTCCATTTTTGGCTCCAACCTGCCCCCCGTTGCTGAATCAGCGGGATCTGCAGGCATTCGGGGAAGCCCTGGTGGTCATGAAGCCAGTCCAGTGGCATCTGATGGGACGTGGTGGGGACAGGGTGCTCTGGGGGCATGGAGCTGACGCCTGGGGGAGTGATCAGGACCCCCTGGGAGACATCTGGGGCACTGTGGGGGGCAAGCAGGCGGGTGAGTGGGTGGTATTCTGGAGAGGAGGGAGGCGGGTGGGAGGGGCACTGGGTGCGGTGTCACCATGGGGTGAGCACCAGGGATCAAGGTGGGATGGACAGCGTGGGGACATTATTACCGATGACATCACTGTTACTGGGAGCAGGGTGCTTGGTGAGGCGGGCTGGACAGTCAGGGAGGTGTCTGGACTCAAGACTGGAGGGGACACGAGGGAAGCCGGCCGCAGAGGGCAGGGCCCTGACCGGTCTGCGGGCCCCCGCCCCCCGCCCGCAGTGGCCCCGGCCGGCGGGAACCTGGTCCAGTTCGGGGTGATGATCGAGAGGGTGACGGGGAAGCCGGCGCTGCAGTACAATGACTACGGCTGCCACTGCGGTATCGGCGGTTCCCACTGGCCGGTGGACCAGACCGACTGGTGAGCGGACGGCCCGCAGCGGGAGCTCCCGGGGGCGGGGAGGAGCCGGGACACCTGGCAAGTGGAGGCTGACCTCTCCCCTGAGCCCCTTTGAGCCCTGCCCCTCCGCCGGCCCCCGGCAGCCCCTGGTCCGGCCCAGCCTGGCTCACAGGCCCCTCCAGGTTGCCCGTGACCCTTCCAGGTGCTGCCATGCCCACGACTGCTGCTATGGGCGCCTGGAGAAGCTGGGCTGTGAACCCAAACTGGAGAGGTATCTCTTCTCTGCCGGCAGGCACAACGTCTTCTGTGGTAGGTGAACAGCTCTGGAGCGCCCCAGATACTGGGGCGGGTCCGGGGGGCGGGGGGCAGCTTCAGATAGGACCCCCCTCCTGATGGCGGCCCCTGGTTCCTCATCAGGGCCGGACCCTGGGCTAGAGAGATGGGCGAGGTGGGTCTTCCATCATCACGGCACTGTAGAGAGGACTGGCCATCCACCCGGATGCTCGCCTGGCACCCAGCCTAAAGATCCCGGGACCTGTGGGCTCCTGCCCTGGCCGCAGGTGCTTCGCCCCACCAGAGGCCCAGCCAGCTCCAGCCTCTGGGAAGGAGGCGCAAAGGGGGCAGAGCTGAGCCAGGCCCAGAGGGGCTGTACCCACATGCCCTCTCCAGGGCCTGGGCAGCAAGGTCCGGAGCAAGGTCCCCAGGACAGAGCCTCGAGGGCACAGTCCCAGACAGAGCTGGAGCTATGATTTGGGACAGCAGACCCCATTGCCAAAGGCTGACTCCCCCCAGGGAGGCTGTCAGGCTGGACCTATTTGCTCAGCTTTGCCAGATCCAATGCCCACTTGGACCAATTAGTTTTCCTCGTCCCCAGCCCCAGGGAAGCGGCCTGGACCAAGTGACAGTGTGGAGGGCTCCACGCAGACGGGCCCCGGGGAGGGGGCCCAGATCAGAGCACCAGGCCTCCCAGCTCCAAAGCCAGGAGCAGCCTGGAGGGAGGGCGGTGCCGAGTGAGGGGGTGGCAGAAGAACCCAGGAGGGTCAAAGAAGACAGCTCAGATCACTAAGATCTGTCCTGGGGGAGGGGGCGGAGCCACCAAAGGCAAATTTAGCTCAGTCTCTTGCCCCTGCAGCTATCTATCTACTCAGTAAGGCAGCTTTGACAGGTAGTGAACTCCCCATCTGTGGAGGTTTATGCAAGGGATGGCCCTGAGGGCATGGCACCTGTCCGGGATGGCCCTGAGGGCATGGCACCTGTCCGGGATGGCCCTGAGGGGATGATATGAGGAGAGGTGTCAGGAGAATAGGGTCAGAGGCTCAGGGCTTCACCTTCTCCTCACTGGGTGAATTTGGGCAAGAGATGTAACCTCTCAAAAGCCTCTGTTTCTTCCTCTATAAAAGGGAGCCAATCACACTCACTCCCCAGCTTAATCCAGCTCCTAGCAAGAACCACCCAAAAGGACAAATGTGGCTGATAAACCCCTGAGTTTTGCTGGAATAGCAGCTGTGGGCAGAACCCACAGTGGGAAGTGGAGGCTGACCTTTGAGGGAAAATGAGGATCCCTGGACATTTCTGTGACATGTGTTCTTGGGGACAGAGAGAAGCCAGGGCCACTGAGGGCAGACAGAGGGGGTGGGGAGAAGGGGAGGCTCTGGGACCCCAGTGCCTGCAGAGCCAAAGCCAGCTCTGACCCCGGGCCGGGTGTAAGCACACACATGGAGAGGGGCCCCAAGATAAATGCCAGGAAAACGGGCTCTGTCCCCTCGGATGGAGACAGGCCCAGGGCCCGAGCAGGCCCCCAGCTTCCGTCCCAGCGGGCTCCAGTCTGGGCCCAGGCTTCTACGGGGCCCACAGGCCACCTGGGACTGAGTCGGTGTCATTCTTGCTCCCCTGTCAGCTTGCTGGCCACACTCCACCACCATCCATGCCTCCCGTGGGGAAGGGGTTGTCTAGAAATCCATCCCGGGGCTGGAGCAGATGCATTAGAGAACCACATGGTCTCCGGGCCGGCCAGAGGGCCTGGGGTGGGGGGCATTGCGTGAGCTTGGGAGAGGAAGGAAGAACAGCTAGGACAGACTTCCCCCAGCTTCCCAGCGTCCTGAGCACCCCCCAGGGCCCCCATCTCTCACCCACACCCGAAACGTCCCCGCAGCTGTGGGCTCCCAGCAGAATGGGACAGAGAACATGGACCCCAGAGAGCGGGAAGCCCGAGCCACTGGGTCCCTGACTCACCTTGTCCCATCAGCCGGCAGAACCGCCTGCCAGCGTCAGACCTGCGAGTGTGACCGGACGGCCGCCCTCTGCTTCCGCCGCAACTTGGGCACCTACAACCGCAACTTCGTCCGTTACCCCAAGAAGCTGTGCAGTGGCCCCACGCCACCCTGCTAGGGCCGGACCCCACCTCCGCCCTGTGCCCTGCCTCCCGCGGCCCCAGGCCTGGGCAGCACTGACACCAAAGGCCCTCCCCCCAGAGAATTCCTTTCCCACACACCCATCCCTCCCTGAGAGCTCCCAGACTGTGGCCTGGACCATCATTGGTCCCCCTAGGAAGAGCCAAGGGACCCTTTAGCACCCAGAAGATTCTATAACCCAGCCCTGAGATCTCCATTCCCTCTTCTGAATAAGTGTTGTCCCATAATTCTAATATTCTCTGATCCTCAGATTCTATCATTATAGGATGTCATTAGTCTGCAGTTTTATTCATTCTTTTTTTTTTTTTGAGTCTCTACCATGTGCCAGCAACGTGCTAAGCACTGGGGATCCGGCAGGAACCAATGTGACACGGTGACCCCTGCGGGTGATTCTAACATTCTGTCCTTTCCATCTCCCCTTATAGTAAGTTTTCGTGATTCTCTTTTTCTAACATTCTACAATCTTATGCAAGACAATAATGGCGATCTCCAGAAGGAATATATCTGACCATATGGTGTCATGTGAGAAGCATGAAAAATACCAACCTAAAAATATTGTCCCCACCATGTCATCAGGCCTCAAATCCATCCCCATTAGCAGACTGGCTAAGTGTGAAAAGAAGCTCTAGAATCATTCTATCCAAACCCCTCCTTTGACAGAGAGGCGGCCAGGGGTCAGAGAGGGGAAGTTCTACCTGCAAAGATGTCCTCACTCCCAGCCAGTGTGCCTGTGTTTCTTCACGAGTTGGTATCAACCAGTGACACTCCGCATGGCCATGTATGGCTGTCATCTTGGACAGCCCAGAATGCCCAGAGAAGGTCCACTGCGAGTGTGCCCAAGCCAGGTCAGGCTCCTGATACAGGGAGGGGAAGAGGAAAGATGTCAGCCTCCAGTATCTAACTCTGGAGCCACGAAGAATTTAAAGCACCGAAGGATTCCTCCCAAGTGGGATACAGCCTATCCTGGAAGCAATGTACTTCAGCAGATTCTACTCCTAACTATGGACAGAATTATCTCCACTCTCTATGTACAGTATGCGGATAAAACCTGCCCCGACAGGAATGAGCCCATTCAATGAGACAAGCACAGGGAAAGGTACTCCATGGAGGGGACAAAGCTCATAGCAGACACGCAACAAACATTCACACCCTTTGTCCTTTTCATGGCGTGTGTGCAACTTTCGGGACTTTGAGGGCAGGAAAGAGCTGAGAAGAAATCAAAGGGATGATCATCATAAACTTTGAAAGGTGAAGAAGTTCTATGTTAGCAAAAACAAAGTAGGGAGCGGGTGAGCCCCCCTTGCCGCTGTGAATGATGCTGATGCTTGGTAAAGAGTCTTAGGGCAACACGGGGATTGGGGAAGCGAGCAAGTGCATTTGTTGGGAAGAGTGGTCCTGAGGCGCCCTCTGGTGTCCACTTGGTTTAGGCTACGAGGAGGAAACCTAAATTCAGCTTGTACCTGGATTTCCCTTCAACAGGGAGCAAAGTAGCTTCCAGGCTAGTGAAATCAGTCCCTTGGCACTGCCAATAATAAATATGCTGAGAAATAACCACGGAGCCCTTACAAACATCTCAGAGTGATAGATGCCGCTGCATAAGTGAGTCGCACAGGAAGAGGGAACAGGCTTGGGGAGATGGAGAGAGCTTATGCTCTGGGAGCCGTGGATGTAAGGCAGCAACGGGACGGGCACCTGCTCACCCGACAGGTGTGTGGCATCCAGCAGAGTGGAAACTGGAACTTACGAAATAAACCTGGTGCAGCCTGTTTTCCCAGTGATCAATAAATGTTCGGTGAATGAATCAACGGGTCTGAATTCCGTGTACACGTCTGGGGGACTCACACTTGATTGCCAGCAGCAGACTTGCGGAAAGAGCTGAAAAATCCCTGAACTTGAGGTCACAGTTTCCAGGTCAAGACCTCCCTGCTCAGCCAGTTAGCAACAGTGGCTTCTGTTCCAGACCTGCTGCTCCATATAGCCCATGGAAACTAGCAGCTGCATCCTCGGGGAACTTGTTAGAGATGCAGATCTTGGACCTGACCCCAGGCCCACGGAGGCAGAACCTGTAGGTCAACAAGAACCGCCCCCCACCACCCTTCCCACCGCCTGGGTGATTTGCGCGCCCATTAAAATCCCAAAAGCCCTGACACGGGGCCAAATGGAACAAGGATGCTTCCTGGGCAGGCTGGTTGTGGCAAGGTGTCAATCAGTTAGCGTTTGTGAAAGTACAGAACAATGCCTAGCACCTAGTAAGCGTTCAGGTTCTGTGAATGAACGACAGCCGTAATGATAGATGACACTTTATCAAGTCTTAGCATTTAGCAGGCACTGTTCTAAGTGCTTTCTGTTTATTAATTCACTGAATGAAGGGATGCATGAGGCCTGGGGGCTACCTCAAGGCTGGGGGAGGGACTCCGTTACCTGAATGCTTATAGATTGCCTCTCCAATTTTGAAGGCACGATTTGGATTGATTTGCTTTGTTCCCCCTTAACCCCTAACAAAAGCTATTAATGAAATGTTTGATCAAGTAACTTGCTGAGTAAGTGATTAGAAATCAAAGCACATTGGAGTTTCCGATTAGGATTTCACAGACCTCCGTCTGGGGTCCCTAGCTGAATGATGCCAGAGATAGAGACACATCAGATGTGGCCAACCGGCACACGGACACGTTATTCTATACTAATGCTTTCCCAGAGCAAGACTAGACCATCAGGACCTCCCTCTTCCAGCCAGTCACCATCCTGACCACCGAGGCCGGCTTCATCTTCCCCCAGTTTGATTTCCATCACGTCGCTCCTTCCTCTGCCCCTGAACCATCAGTAGCTCCCATTGGCCACCAAACCCTGGCGTTCAAGCTTGGCGTCATCTGCTTTTCCAGCCTCGGTGATCCTGCCGTATATATTTCTTTATACTCCCCC